CATAGAATTGATAGGAATATATTTCAACAGATATCTTACTTTAAAAGTTCACACAGAATTACAACAAGGCGTAGTCTATTTTCTTCTATCTTTATCATCGTCATCGTGTGCCAGGTCGTTTGCATAAAGTCGCTCCCATAGCAGCCTTCTCATACTAAATTCTCAGTCATTTCCAGTCTGGTTGATTCATACAAAGCCGCGGTAGAGTAGCTAGACGTGCGCCTGTCTGTCTGAAAGTTGTGGGTTCAAATCGTCATCAAGCTTGAATTTTTTGTTTTGTTTCTTGAAAACAGACATTGACTCCTAGATCGACCCAGCCTGAACCAGGCACCAGGTAATGTCCCAGAAAGCACAGGCAGCAGCGGCCCAGCTTGATGTAGACCACATAACCCAACTAGTGCCCAGTGATCTATACAAATCTGAGGCCAGCACTGGCTTAGAACCAGAAGCCTAGCAAAGGAGTGCGGGAATTGCGGTCGGCACCGGGTATCATCACTGAAAACAAAACAAAAATAAGGGGTCGGGGAGGGAGGGAGATGGCAAAATGACTGAAAAAAAATATGTGTTTTAAACATTAAAATGTGTGTGTGAGTTTGTTTGTATAAGGGAATAACATGACATTTTCTGCCCCGGATACCACATGACCTTTTAGGGCCACTAGGAGTGTCATGAAATTTCCCGCACCGGGTACCGACAGAATTTGCAATGCCCTCGAAGGTGAAGGGATATTTCCGCATCAAAAACCACGTGATGCAAATACTTGGTGTCACCAACTGGAAAGAGAAGGCCAACCAGAGAGATGAATGTAGGCGAGTGATATCTGCAGCAATAAACCTCTGGGGTTTGGAATGCTGAAAAGGGAGAAGAAAAAGAAGAAAAATGAAGAAGAAGAAGAAGAGGAAGTAAACCAAGTGATCTTGCGATGCTGCTGGCGGCTACAGGAAATTTTCCTCACCGGGAGTCACCCGACCTTGCGACGCAAATGCGTAGAACAGGTCTTATACTCTAATAGCTTGCATGTCTTTTCATGCTCAAGTTGTCTTTGATTATTGTGAAAAGATATAAAATCAAGCGAAGAACAGAAGCAGTCACAGAAAAAGACGAAACATTACCACACACACACACACACACACACACACACACACACTCACAAAAGCCCCCCCCCCCCCCCCAAAGTCTTATCCGAAGTGTTTTCGAGAGAAATCACATATCTATCTGGCCAATGTAATCTCTGATACGTGTGTGATCACTGGAAATAAATACTAACCACTAACTAAATACTACTAAAAAGCTGTGAACGACAGGGGCTGTAAATCAGAAATATTATTCAAAACTGTGTTGGCTGTTAAGCCCCATAGATGATTGGAACACTTTAGATGATTCGGCAGTTATCCACAGATTGACGGACTCTTGTCATTTGAGTGGCTACACACGAACACGGTGACCTTTGACTGTCATCTATTCACAGTCGTAGTGGTCGACTCCTACCTTGTCTTCTAGGAACAAAGTATACCATATCCCGGCTCTCTAGCGAAGTTGGTTAAACCTGACTTTCGCGGCGGCCGGGTGACGAACTCCTTGTGGTCCGGGTTCAATCCCGGGGGTAGGCAGAAAAGCCACATTTCTCCCAGATTAACGGTACCTATAATGGAATCAAGGCCGAAGGGTTGCGATATCCATAGTACTGAGCCAAAGGGTTTACAACTCATGGTTTCTGGATACGTAAAAAAAAAAAAAAAATACATTCTGTGTTGGTATGTTCCTGCAGTTACTGGCGCCCTTTCTATATAAATAAAAGCCTATATATTAATTCTGTTTGTTTCGTTATTGTTATTGCTTCGTTACTGCTTTTGTTTCGTTATTTGTATTGTTACAAGTTTGTTATTGATTCATTATTGCAATTTTTTTTAATTTTAATTTTTTTTTATTGTGGTTATTGTTACATTATTGCAATTTTTTTCCCATAATTGTTATTTTTTTTCACTGTTCCGTGATCGTTGCGTTGCTGTTATTGTTTCACTATTGTTGCATTACTGGTATTGTTTTGCTAACTGCTTCATTATTTGTATTGTTTCGTAATTCTTTACATTTTGTATATTGATTATATTTCTTCATTTACATTTAAGAAAAAATCTTCTAGGGCTCATTAAAAAAGAGAGACCTACTGCCCACTAACAAGCATGTCGTAGGAAGCAACTACTTTGGGATTTTGCATTAGCAGTCGGAGTGCATCTGCCTGAAATGCAACGAACCAACAGTCTGCATTCAAATGAGCCAGATCTGTAAAACGGATGCGCGCACAAAACTCGCGTGCGAAGTGTTCCTGAAAGGAGCTACTGGATAGCCTGATGCCTGGCACACTTGCCAAGTATCTAGATATGCTCACTTGTGTCACAGTTACAAGTCACCACTCCTGCCCAACAGCAATAGAGGACGCCGGATACATGTTGACCGTCAAAGTGGATTCAATGTATTTCAACACCATGACAATGAAAGGCATCACGAGACATGAATGTCTATACTACCACAGTCATTCTCACTAACAAGGCAACACACACTCAGGACGCTCTGGACGACTTTTATTGCCACCCTGTTCCGTGGTTAACAACGAGCAAACATTACCTGCTCGTGCAAACCCACTGCTCGTGATTACGTAACTGTCTCTATGACACCCATCACTTGGGTACACTGTCACTAGAAAAATCATACAGGCCGATGCACAATACCTTGTGAAGATTATCCAGACCTTCCGTCTGCGGCCTGACACGTACTTGAGATCTCCTATCTCACCACACGAGCTTCTGTCACGCTGGCCCGGCCACTGCGGCATCTCTCGCCGATAGCCTGTATGCCTAACGCCAGCGTAACATGCGGGTGTGCAGGACTAGTCTGACAACACCCAGACTAGAACCTACATTAACGCATCCTTCCTCTCCAGGGTCGTAGAGCCAACCGTCTCTCTCTCTCTCTCTCTCTCTCTCTCTCTCTCTCTCTCTCTCTCTCTCTCTCTCTCTCTCTCTCTCTCTCTCTCTCTCTCTCTCTCTCTCTCTTCACATTCCGTACAATGTGTACTGCACCGCACCAAGTTTTACGTTCATTAATGAACTTCCATTTCATAAACCATATATTGTACACAACAATCACTTAGAATCTTTCAATCTCCACGCCCCACTTTCAACAGTTTTTTTTTTTTTTTTGGTCAAAAGGTGGAAAACTTCCTTGAGGGCTGGTAAATAGGAACAGTTACTTTGAAGATACCCGATTATTTAATGATGTAACAACAAGTTGAAATGTGAGCGCCGTTTTGTCGTTAACTTCTGAAAAGACAACTGGGTGTCACATTATACCCTGGTTGTCGGCGTCAAATTATACCCCGGTGGACAATGTCAAATTGTACCTCGGTTGTCTGCGTCAACAAATTGTACCCCATCTGTCTGCCTCAGCTTTAAAGACACGGGTTTTGTCTGAGAGGGGTCATCAGATGACCAGGGTCATCAGAAATATAAAACATTAACAACACTCCAGATAAACAGGCCCGGAACCTGGGGGAGCTGCAAGGGAGGGGACGGTTGCGGGCCGCCTTGGGTTCATCAAGGGAGGGGCGGGCAAAATGGCAAACAAAATTGTCAACCATAATTGTTTTGTGTACTTACGACGCTTGTCTGTGTGTGTGTGTCTGTCTGTGTGTATGTCTGTGTGTGTGCGCGTACAAAAATGGGGTGGGGTGATATTTAATCATCTGTAACAAATTTGAATTACACCTAAAGATTCTGGTTCAGTCGGCCAGACAGTCAGTCAATCAATCAGTAAATCAACCAGGCAACATGTCCTTCACAAAACGTCGCTCTCTTCACAACATGCTTAAAAGTCTCTCTTTCTGTAGCCACGTCTTCAACCTTATGTGACTAGAAGAGGAAGAACAAGAAGAAGAACAAGAAGAAGAAGAAGAAGAAGAAGAAAAGGAAGAAGAAGAAGAAGAAGAAAAAGAAAAATAAATACAAGAAATACATATAAACATAAGAAAAGAAGAAGAAGAAGAAAAAAAAGAAGAAGAAGAAGAAGAAGAAGAAGAAGAAGAAGAAGAAGAAAAGAAAAATAGATACAAGAAATACATAAGGAAAGAAGAAGAAAGAGGAAAAAACAAGAAGAACAGGCAGATGAAAATGAACAAAAAAACTAAGAAGAACATGAAAACATATTTTGCAAAGACAGTCCTCAGTGATACATGCCACCAGTAACCGAATGACACCCACAAAAGAAAAATCACAGATAAACAAAACAATGAAGTCTGAATGAACTTTGTGTCATATTTTATTGCTGAATTCCGTGAACACTCCCAGCGGCTGAAGGAACCAAGAAAGCAAAGAAAAATCCAAGAGCCATTCGCGTGCCCCTAGACCCTAAACACAGCAACTGACCCCACCCACCCCCCCCCCCCACCCCACCCCCACCCCCACCTTTTCCACCTCCTTTCTTCCTATCAACATAAACAAAAGAATGTGACACTGTTCTCCCTCAGAACTAAATACAATTGTTTATCAATAACATATATTCTCCTTCTTCTCCTACTCATCCGATTTCTTCTTCTTTCTTCTCCTCCTCGCCCATTGCTTCTTACTCTCTTTCGCGGTCCAAGAATTTTTCATGGCAAAGATTTCGCCATCCTGAAAGTTTAAAACTCTGACAAGAAAATGAAGAGACAAGATACTTTTAATGTAAAATAAGCAAGTGTAACGTCACGCAAGAAAGAAAGAAGAAAACAAATCAGTTTAATAATAATTTATTTTTTAAAATTTTAACATCACCAAGCATGAAAAACTGGCCGCGTAACCGAGAATACCGGTTAAGCTTTTAATTATTAAAAAAATTAGGAAGTAAAAAAAGTGATTATATATTGTGCTTTTAACAAAGCGACATGACCTCAAATGATGGTTAAATGTAGGTCTAATTTTCCTGTTTTTATTTTGAATTGGTTTCTATGACAGCGAGACATATCCACACTACTCGTTGTCCACATATTTGGTCTGCTGGCCAGTATATGTGGGCTGAAAGCCTTTCGAGTTGGCCTAAAGAATAAAAACAAGAAACTGTTAGTCTAACTGTGATTTCTTTTTCTTTATAAATATTCTTCTTCTTATCCATCTCTACCTCCAAATTTTAACTTTCATAATCTAACGCCCTCCCCCAATCAACCTTTTAATGCTTACCTCTTAACTGTCGTCATTATCACCGAAATAATCGTCATCATGCTCTTATTTTTTCTTCTTCTTTTTCTCTTCTTCTTCTTCTTCTTCTTCTTCTTCTTCTTCTTCTTCTTTTTCTTCTTCTTCTTGTTTTTCTTCTTCTTCTTCTTCTTCTTCTTCTTCTTCTTCTTCTTCTTCTTCTTCTTCTTCTTCTTCTTCTTCTTCTTCTTCTTCTTCTTCTTCTTCTTCTTCTTCTTCTTCTTCTTCTTCTTTTCTTTTTCTTCTTCTTCTTCTTCTTCTTCTTCTTCTTCTTCTTCTTCTTCTTCTTCTTCTTCTTCTTCTTCTTCTTCTTCTTTATCTTCTTCTTCTTCTTCTTCTTCTTCTTCTTCTTCTTCTTCTTCTTCTTCTTCTTCTTCTTCTTCTTCTTCTTCTTCTTCTTCTTCTTCTTCTTCTTCTTCGTCTTCTGATCTTTATCTCCAATGGCATAGACCAGTGGTTCTCCTAATACCGCAACCCTAAAGGGTTGATGATGTTGTGGTGACCCTCAACCATACAATTATTTTCTTTGCTACTTCATCACTTCAGTTTAGCCAGTATGTTTATAAATATTTAATCCGGAAGGTTCAGGCAGGTTCGGTGCGAAGGAAATGACTTAATCATCACAGAAGTCTACTGTGCGTGGAGTCACCTTTAGTTTTGTTCCGGGACACGCAGGCGTCGACGGAAATGAAAGAGCTGATAGGCTGGCTGGATCCGCTATCATTACCGACGGTCAACCCATGGATCATGCTGATATTGTTAATGCCCTACGAGAAGTGGGATGGGTGGAGGACTTTGAGGGCAGTGAATCCACATCACTCACCAGAATAGCAGACTTGGGAGCTAGGATCGGTATAGCAAAACATGAGACGCACACCAGTCACAACAGAGGACTTGTTAATCAACATAGAACTGGTACTATTAGCCATTGGATGCTGGGGTTCATACTGAGGGAAGGATCTGAGCACCTATGGACATGTCCAGAGTGCACTGGTAATAACCTAACTAACTAACTAACTAACTAACTAACTAACTAACTAACTAACCAACTAACCAACTAACTAACTAACTAACTAACTAACTAACTAACTAACTAACTAACTAACTAACTAACCAACTAACCAACTAACTAACTAACTAACTAACTAACTAACTAACTAACTAACTAACTAACTAACTAACTAACTAACTAACCAACCAACCAACTAACTAACTAACTAACTAACCAACCAACTAACCAACCAACTAACTAACTAACTAACTAACTAACTAACTAACTAACCAACCAACCAACCAACCAACCAACCAACCAACTAACCAACCAACCAACCAACCAACCAACCAACCAACCAAATAGCTAACTAACTAACTAACTAACTAACTAACTAACTAACTAACTAACTAACTAACTAACTAACTAACTAACTAACAAACAAACTAACCAACTAACCAACCAATTAACTAACTAACTAACTAACCAACTAACCAACTAACTAACTAACTAACTAACTAACTAACTAACTAACTAACTAAATAACTAACTAACTAGCTAACTAACTAACTGACTAACAAACTAACTAACTAACTAACTAACTAACTAACTAACTAACTAACTAACTAACTAACTAACTAACTAACTAACTAACTAACTAACTAACTAACTAACTAACTAACCAACTAACTAACTAACTAACTAACTAACTAACTAACTAACTAACTAACTAACTAACTAACTAACTAACTAACTAACTAACGAATGAACCAACCAACCAACCAACCAACTAACTAACTAACTAACTAACTAACTAACTAACCAACTAACTAAAAAACTAACCAACTAACTAACTAACTAACTAATTTCATCGAATGTGTGTTTTCCAATGGTTTTTAGGCGACCCACGTGCAAGGGCCATTAGACTCCCAAAGGGGTCTCGGCCGCCAGCATAGACCCTTAGACAAATCACTCTGGAACAGTGGTTCTCATCCTAGGGGTCGCCACCCTTTTTGGGGTCGAACGACCCTTTCAATGGCAACACACATATTCATTGAAGTTATGAAGTAGCGACGAAAATACTGGTAATTTTGGAGGTCGCCACAACATAAGGAACTGTATTAAAGGGTCGAGGCATTAGGAAGGTTGGGAACCACTGCTCTGGAAGGACTGACCTCATAAACGTGCTGCTATAAAACATAATTCTGGCCCTATCGGTCATTAAAACCTGAAAACTGTGTTGGCACGTACGACCGCTGTCTGGTAGTCTGGTAGTCTTAGTTTCAGCTTCATAGCAAACGGGTCACCCCCATCTTTGCTCCGCTCCTGTGCCAATGAAAAACACACAGAATGTTTATCACAGTATTAGAATTGCAGTTTATCATTGATGGTAGCAGAAGTCGCCAACAGATCAGCAGTTGCCCACGCGATCAATTTCAATCACATACGGGCACCACAACACTGCACGACAGGCATCGCGCCATTTTCTGAATCTACAATTCACACCAACACGTTGGTCACAGTCGAAAAAACATTTCAAATGCAATCCGCAGCTCACAGGGTCACGCCATGCATTCAACTCAGAAGCTGGGCGACGAAACTATATCCAGTCTACAAATGGAGCAAAAAATGCATCGGCCCCCGTTCGGTAGAAGCAAAAAAATCTGCCTCTGTTTCGAACAGTGCCGCTGCCTAACGTCCATTTTGACCGGAAGTCGACAGCTGTACACCAATGCGGGTTTCCCCGCAAAGATGGTCAACTCACCAGTGTTGAATGTTTAATTAGGAATCGAGATCACAGCACTCGGGACACTCCCTATCTTCAGCAGCAAGCGCAGTGTTCTAATTCCGATGGCACCAGTAACGGTCTGATTGTATATCCATCTCATGCTTCCCCTGAGTGTTGAGCGTCGGCCAGATTTCCTGGTAACTCCTCGCATCGCTATTCTTCTCAGACCGTAACGATCTATTACAATATCTAGCTCACAATATCTAGCTTGTCATACATTAATTCAGCACCAAGTTGTGCAGTGCCGGCCAGTCTGATTGCCTGCTCATTTCCCACACACTGGCATGACCTGGAGCTAGGACCTCTGAAGTGATGATTGTCACTCTGCACGAAGCTTGCCTGTCTTCGCCTTTCTCAACATGCTCTGTGAGTCAGCTACAAGCACGGCATGTGTGTAAAGCTGAGTCTCCACTGAGACTGCCTCCACCTCCATTCTCAGACTAGACGTTGTGACATCATATGCGAAGCTTCGCTGCACTAAGCGACGTTCAGTCGACTTTGCTATGAACCCCCATGCACTTCGTCTGCCCCAACTCACCAAAAATCCTAAACTGTGGATGCCGTTGATGACGTTCAAGAACGGTCCCTTTCGGCCCTCCCACAGATCACCGCTCTGTGGACAAAAACACAGAAAAGAATTAGGTAGACAAATGTCAAGTCTGGTTTCACTAGAGCCGTTTTCTCCCCTAGTTAAAGAGAGGTGCCGGTACTCACCCTATTAGGGTGTTTGAAATAGGGTGGCGACTCTGGCAACCTATTCTCTATTGGAGTGCGCTGGTGGGGGGGGGGGGTGGGGACACAATAAAAGGTGCCGCAACCGCGTACCCGGGCGGGGAGCGGGAGCTGAGTGACACAAAGATAAGCAGTGAGAGCTGGTGGGCTGTCGTCAATAGGGTCTGGTTTGGATTTATTCTGAATGTTTCTGGAAAAGGAAAAAAAAGGAAAAACTGTAAGAAAAAAAGGAAAATTTTAAGTAGGGAAATTAAGCCGAGTAGTTGTAGCAGCAGCAGCAGTAGTCGTCGTAGTAGCAGCAGCAACAGATGTAGTCATTATCATCAAGTAGCAAGTTCTTTGCAGAACGAGAGGTCCCGGAAACCGCCATTAGGAAATATTTATGGCCGGGCTATATTGCGGCCCCTGGCAAGAGCCAGTCTGTGGTTTTATAAAACGAAAAATTGCATCCCATCAAGGGATGATAAGATTTAGACTGCGAGAAAAGGAACAAGTATTATACTACTAATAATAATTACAAGAGCAAGGAAAAGGTGCTGAAGGGGTAAAACTAAGAAGAGCAAGAATAACAACAACAGTAACAACAGCAACAGTAAAAACAGAAAAAGTAACAACAGCAACAACAGAACAAGAAGACACACCTGAAACAAGAACTCCTTGCTCAGTCCGTATTCTAAGCAACCTTTGTTGAATGATTCAATGTTGCCCATAGCAACGAAAGGGGAGGCTACCTTCTTCTGAAAACTGACCTTGCCCTTGCCTTCAGAGGCCAGCAACTTGTTGATCAGCCTGCAAGTAAACAAGGTCAATGGTCAGTTGCGCCGGATGTGACTTGAGAATGTCTTCTACTTTCGGTTTCTAACAGCACTTACGTACGAAGTTCAATTTATTCAACCTTTTTATAGACAAATGGAGAGGACACCCTGAATCGATTAAAAAACAAAATAGTAAGGAACATGTCTTGACAGAGACTGACTCATGAAGAACTGATTGCCCACATCTGAAGGAGACGCATCTGAAGGAGACACATCTGAAGGAGACAGTCTACAGTCTTTGGTGATGCTACAAGAAGGTAGGAAACGAGTACGTGACAGTATGAACATTGAAGGGGAAAGATGTAGAGGGAGATCAAAAGAGAAGATGCTGGACGATTTGACATCATGACATGGAAGATCATCCGTATCAGAACTGATTAAATATATATTTAAACAAAATCAGAACGATGTGGATTGACAAGACTACCAACGCTACACGGCCTCCACTTGAGCAACTGATATTATAATACTCGGGCCATTCCCTTAAGCGCTTCGCTCCCATCTTCAGTAGCCAGTTCACAATTCCAGTATAACTAGTGCCAGTTGTAGTCTGATTATGTGTCCATTCTGGAATCACTTTGCCCGTGTTGTCAACATGATCGCCTGGTTATTCCCTGCTGCATCACTGGTTCCATACCGCCATGATCCGTCACTTGCTTTAGTTATTAACCAAATTTTTGAAGGCGCATGCTAAATCCGTCTTGCCATGACGTTTGAAAATCATTATCAGTTTAACAGTTATCGTTAGTGCACCGATTGGGTTCCGGTGAAATGAGAAAGGACCCCCCCCCCCTCTCCCCCTCCCCATCAAGCATGTTGTAAAAAGTGAATAATTATGGATGTTTCCTTCGAGGTCGGAATGAATCTGCCTGAGAGTAAAGGAGACAACAGTCTGCAAATAAATCAGCCAGATCTGTAAAACGTATGTGCACGGCACATGTAAGTTTTGAAACAAGACCAAATTCAGAAGTGAACGAACTTGCGCCAGAGTTTACAGTCGGTGAATGCCAATCAGATGAATAGTTTATGATGCCAGCTTTTCTGGCTGGTCTGACCAGGAAAAACTGGCTAGTAAGTAAAAATAAGGATTCTCAGAGCCGACAGATACTTACAAAAAGTATCACAATAAGAAGTCAATGTGGACGAGGAATAGTGGCGCCAACAGCAACTGCAGATTGCATTTTCTGGATTGTTCACCAGATTTTTCAAATGGGAATGTGAGGGGCATTTCATTTGATTTTCATTGGCACAGGAACGGAACAAATATGGGGTGAACCTCAACTAAGACTAAGACGAGGAATGCATGCTTCAATACCAGGGGATCGTGCGCCACATTTAAAACTCATGCAATAATTGTACATACTGACATCCTCGTTAATAAACAGGTTCTTTACAGAATGTCCCTCTCGTCTGGGCATGCCTGAAAGTGTCTCCTTCTCTACGCAATTCTCCAGCCCTATGTGCTTTCATGGGCGGTGAGTTGTTGTTCGTCGATCACGAGTTATGAAGACCACTTTTATCAAACGTAGTAATGATCAATGATTATAAGTACGAAGGTGATTAGTCCAATAGGAGCCTGGAAAGTTCTTGAGCAGTGGGGACAACAGGTGGAAGCCGCAGTAAGTGTGGGATTAGCAAAATGGTTCTTTCTAGTCTGCCTGCGTTTCTCTGCCTGTGCACCGTGCCTGAGGGACGTACGCCTCCCACGTCGCTACGTTGATGCCAGATGAACTGAGAGCAGTCTTTAGAGTGTCCCTATAGCGCATTTTTTGCCCTCCCTGGGACCTCCTCCCTTGCTGGAGCTCGCCATAAAACACTCTCTTTGGGAGGCCATAGTCTGGCATGCGGGCTAGGTGACCAGCCCAACGCAGCTGATAATTCTTCAGTATCGTATGAATGCTAGGCAAGTTTGCCCTATCAAGAACCATAGACTTTAATATCTTGGATTGGATTCACATTGGCGGAGTTCTGGCTCTGCTTGGTTTTCTGAAAACTGCCCTCCATCACGGTCTCTCCAGGCCAGCAAGACGTTTAACATGGCCAACATACCCCAGCTTTACAGCAGGATGCTGTTTATGAGCCAATTCTCCTCGATGCTCAGATCTTCTTGGTCCATGATATTCGGAGATTTTTCTGTAGCATTTTAGTTCAAAGGCTCAAATGTATTTTTTCAGTGATTGAGTCCATAACTCATATCCATAAGCTGTCTCAGTGATTGAGTCCATAACTTCTTCTTCTTCTTCGCGTTCACCAGCTGTAAACTCTGGCGGAAGGTTCTGGTTGCTCGTCCACTACTGAACTGCAGTCCTGCTCCAGAACCTGAGTGTTGCTTATGCATCAGTTTTACAGATCTCATTCTCTTGAATACAGACTGTTGGTTCCTTGCCTCTCCGGCAGATGCATAACTCATATCCATAAGCTGTCTCAGTGATTTAGCCCATAACTCATATCCATAAGCTGTCTCAGTGATTGAGCTCATAACTCATATCCATAAGCTGTCTCAGTGATTGAGTCCATAACTCATATCCATAAGCTGTCTCAGTGATTGAGCTCATAACTCATATCCATAAGCTGTCTCAGTGATTGAGTCCATAACTCATATCCATAAGCTGTCTCAGTGATTGAGCCCATAACTCATATCCATAAGCTGTCTCAGTGATTGAGCTCATAACTCCTATCCATAAGTTGTCTCAGTGATAGAGTCCATAACTCATATCCATAAGTTGTAGCGGAAAGGAGGCATGACCTCCTGGGTATCACGTGAACTCGTTTGGACTTGCTGACACACTGACAACGCTGTAGTATTACAATGGGTCCCCTTGTGGATCTCGGGACCCCACTATAGGGAAAACAAGTATAGACCCACTGCCTCTCATTTAAGCATGTCGTAAGAGTCGACTAACTGACGATTTCCTACGAAGAAGGAGTGCATCTGCATGAGAGGCAATGAAGCAAAAGTCTGTATACAAATAATTCAGATCTGTAAAACGGATGTGCACGCAACATTCAGGCTCTGGAACAAGCCTAAAGTCAATATGGGGTTAAACAATCGGAACTTTCCGCTACAGTTGACAGCCGGGGAAGGTGAGGAGGCCGAGACCTCACTAGCTGTAAACTCCAGCGGAAGGTCCTGGTTTTTCGTTATCAAATGATAGGCAATTAGTGATGAATAAAGTGGTAGGTAATTTGTTATGTATCAAGTGATGGGCAATTTGTGATGTATAAAGTGGTAGGTAATTTGTGATGTATCAAGTGATGGGCAATTTGTGATGTATAAAGTGGTAGGTAATTTGTGATGTATAAAGTGACGGGCAATTTGTGACGTATAAAGTGGTAGGTAATTTGTGATGTATCAAGTGATGGGCAATTTGTGATGTATAAAGTGGTAGGTAATTTGTGATGCATCAAGCGACGGGCAATTTGTGATGTATCAAGTGATCGGCAATTTGTGATGTATCAAGTGATAGGCGATTTGTGATGTATAAAGTGGTAGGCAATGTGGGATGTAACAAGTGATGGGCAATTAGTGATGTATAAAGTGGTAGGTAATTTGTGATGTAACCAGTAAAAGGCAATTTGTGATGTATCAGGTGTTAGGTAATTTGTGATGTAACCAGTGATAGGCAATTAGTGATGTAACAAGTGATAGGCAATTTGTGATGTAACAAGTGATTGGCAATTTGTAAATGTCAAGACAACAAAAAAGGACGCTGCATTATGCAATGGCCTAGGGCAAATTGATCTCACAAGGCACCTGGGGCTGGGACAACAACTGGTACATTTCCTGTATGGGAATTAAATTCCTTAAACCAGTGTTTCTCAAACTGTTGTTGGTCTCGGTGCTTTTATTTCAATTAAATTTTTTCCATGGCGCCCTAACCTGAGCAAAAGTATAACTATTCGTGTCTTGGTTAAATTAATTATGAAGCTTTTACAATATTTCGCGGCGCCCCTGTGAAGAGGTCGCGTCTCCCCGGCGCACAGTTTGGGAATCACTGCGTTAAACAGTAAAACATGCAGGGAGCAAAAGAAAGGGATGGTGGGTGTCTGAGGACAAAGTGGATGCACACATGCTTCTATGTCCGACATTTTTCACTTCTGTCTCGTCTAATGTCTTCTTTGACTTTTGTCGTCCCGCTGTAACCAGGCCAATGTTTGGTGAGTAGAAGCAGTCAAATACACAACTGCCGGCTTGCTAGTCTACTGTACCAAGTCTACTGTACCTAGTCTATTGTACCTAGTCTACTGTACCTAGTCTATTGTGCCTAGTCTATAGCACCTAGTCTATTGTACCTAGTCTATTGTATCTAGTCTACTGTACCGTGTCTAAGAGCTAAGGTTGTGTCCTGTTCATCAACCGATCGTGAGTTACTCCCCTTCTGCTGCTGCTGCGCTTGCTGCTGCTGGTTCTTCTTCTTCTTCTTCTTTATTCATCTTTCCCTTACTTTTCCTTAGTGTACTCCGAATGAACTTCAACCCTTTCAGGACCACAAAACGAGGGACAAACACCGGATAGACAAACTGTCACCATTCGGATCAGAATTTCCCTGGTACAAGTCCCAGAAAGCCCGTTCAACCGTTAAGTTATACGACAGCCAGGGTGGAGCTTCGAAATAACATAATTACTGTGTACTCTATTGGGACAGAGAATAACACCAGAAAATTCCAACGGAAAGTTCTGGCTGTTCGTCTAATTCTGGACTTCGATCTTGTGCATACATGCCCATTTTACAAATCTGGCTTATTTGTTTGTTGGTGCCGCCCCTTCTCTCTTTAGGCAGACGTATTTTGACTTTGAAGGAAACACCCAACCCCTTCCCCCAATTATGCCTACAAAATTGCTATAAAATCAAAGGAAACGAAACGAAGTTACAACATGTGGAAGTACTATTATGTCAAATAAAACTGTTCTATTAATACTTGCTGAGGTCAGAAGCGTGCAAGGCGTAGCAAATCAAGGCGAGGCAGAAATGCACAAAAAACATAGGAGCCATGTACTCACACTGCGATCAAAGCGACAGAAAACACTAGCGAACAGTTATTTATTAATTGCTCAAGAGCAGGCATACAGTAAGCAGAAGCTGTGAAATATAAAGATCGTTTTAGAACGATTTTATGAAGCTGACATGTAAGCAGGTTACAGAGTATAACTAACAGATTTGTAAGAAAGATAATTTTCTGACAGACATTTAGAAACTATAACCGGTTAGTTCGACGTTAGTCTTCCCAATTAGAGTAGGTCACTTTTCATTCACAAGTTTGTTGGGCTCCTGAAAGTTACGGGTGTGTCCCCCTCTGTTGTTTGCTTTCTCTGATATCTTGCATTTACGTTTCCATTCCGAGAAAGAGATTGCCTAGGGCGGTTGTGTTAGACCCAGTTTGTCCATGTTTTTGAAGTTTTAAAAGCGCTAGCATGCTAAAATATAAAACACGCGATATCAACAGCATGGC